AAATGGTTGTTTCTAACCGTAAACATTACCGGCAAATAAACATCGCTTTGTCCACTTCTTTCTCAACTGATAAATTGGACATTGACTTTGATGGTGATTTATCTTCCTTCAAGTGTTTTGTTACGTTCAGTCACAATAAGGTCGAGTATAAACTGCAAGTTTCCAATGATAACTATTACAGAAAAATTAACGCCGAACTGACATTTCCATCAATTCAAATGAATGTTGTGTTTAAATTTGATGGTGATCTGAAAGCTTTTAATTCTACAGCCAGATTTTCCTGTAATGATAAGCAGTATGAAGTTAATCTGGCCAATGCTGATTATTATAAGGAGATCAATGCCACTCTCTCTACGCCGTTCTTCCAGCAAGCGGCCATGTTCAATCTGAAAGGTCACTGGGAAAATTATACTTTCCAAGCTCGTGTTACGCACGAACAAGATACTTACTACTTAGGTGTTTATAATCGCGGATACTCTCAAGAACTGTCCGCAAAATTATTAACTCCTTTCTTCCAAACTAATGCCTCGTTCAACTTAGGAGAAAACATGGATAGTTTCAAATTAATATCCCACTTGTCTTTTGATAACAAACATTATCTTCTGTCATCTTCCAGCCTTCTTAATTATCGTAATATGGAAATCAAAGCAAAAACTCCATCGTTCAAGACTGAAGCCTTATTAAAACTGAAAGGAGGTGATAAACTGTTTTTCGTTACTGCAAACGTCTCCTTTAATGATATGCAATACCGCCTGTCTGTTGGAAATGCTGATGATAATTCTAATTTCATTGCCGAACTAATGACACCATCTTTCCAAACAGAAGCAGCTTTTACAGTTGATAAAGAGAAAGAGACATTGACTTTCGTGTCACAAATTATTTATAATGAAAAGAGGTACCAATTAACATTATCTTCTACTGACTATAATCGAAATATTAAGGCTAAAATAATCACTCCATCAAACAAAACGGAAGCCATATTGAATTTTAATGGCGATCTGAGGACTTTCAAAGTAATGGCTCAAATTACATTTAACGGACAACACTATGGACTGAACATTGCTACGTCGGATTTTTACCATAAAATCTGGATAAAACTGACCACTCCGCAGTTGACTGGTTCCTTTTTGTTTCATCTAAAAGGAAAATTAGAAGCTTTCATGGTACAGACGACATTTGCTCATAACAACGACCAATACAAACTGTTAGTTTCAAATAAAAACTACTACAGACAAATAAATATTCGTCTTTCAACCCCGCATTTTAATAAATCTCTATCATTCCATTTAATTGGAGTCCTGAAAGCGTTCAATATGAAAGCAACGTTTAATGATAACAATGACCAATACGAATTGTTAGTTTCAAACAAAGATTATTACCGACGGATATCAATCATGTTGACAACGCCATTCTCACAGGATTCCTTTTCGGCGTCGTTTAATGGAAGCTGGGAACAGTTTAGTTCGAAGATTAAGATTCTGTACGAGAGAGAAGAGTACGAATTGATAATTAATGGACATTATCTTGAAATGTGGGCTGCGTTGAAAACTCCTTCTATCCGAGAAACAGCCAGTTTCAGTTTGAAAGGCAAATCTCACACTTTTAATATATCAATGAGTTTTTTCCATAACAATTCTGAATACCAAATGTCATTATCTGTTGTTCGCTACTATCAACGAATAAACATTGAAGTGTCAACGCCATTAATAAGTTCAGAAATGCTTTTCAATTTCGAAAAGCATTCGAAAGAAATCAAGGCACGGACATCCATCACTTATGATTCTCAAATTTATCAGGTCGTCATTTCTAACTCGGGTTATTACCGCAACCTTAATGTGGAATTGACTACGCCTTTTACTAATGCATCGTTATTACATAATTTAAAAGGAGACTTGAAATCGTTCACACTTCAGACGATATTCGCACACAATAATAACAGGTATCAATTATCAGTTTCAACTAAAGACTACTTCAGGCAGATGAACGTAAGCCTTTCAACTCCTTATCTGACAGATTCTTTTTCGTTTCTCTTGAGTGGATATCTGAAAACGTTTGATGTAAAAACAAAATTCAGTCACAATAGTGAAAAATATGAACTGATCATATCGAACAAGGGTTATTACAAGCAAATGCGAAGCCATTTGAAAACTCCATTCTCGGAAAGTTTCTTTTCTTTCTTATTTGATGGGCATTTAAGAAATTTCACACTTAATATTCACACGTTGTATAACAAAAATAAATATGAAGCCGTAGTATACAGCAGTGATTATTACAGAGAGTTTGCTGCAAAGTTCACGAGTCCTTTTTTCCATTGTTCAGCAATGTTCACTTTAAAAGGTAACTTACAAGCTTTTCAGGCTTTAGCAAAGGCCACTTATAACAATGATCAATACCAAATGAAAATCTCCAGCAAAGGTTATTTCGAAAGCCTCACTGCAGAGGTGACCCTTCCTCCATTACACACATCGAAATCTATTCATAAAATTAACAAATATCAAATAATTTTCTTAAACAACGGATTTCATCGTCAACTAGTTTTGCAAATGTTATCTCCGACATCTGAGGAATCGATCGACTTTACCTGCACAGGAAATATGGAAAAAATCAACGCTCTATTTACCGTGAAGCACAATAACGCAGTTTACAATATGAAGATTTCTAATCGGGACATTTACCAGAAAATGAACTTCCAACTGAATACCCCATTCGTCGTCTGTGACTTCCGTTTTGACATGTCAATGGACGCCATTAATGCTATGTTTCAAATAAACGCGGGCAAAGCAAAATACGAATTTGCTATTTCTGGCAATACGTATTCGAAGGTTAGTGAATTGAAATTATTCAATCCCCCGCACAGGATGTACATTAAAAGTAATATTTATCACAAGAAAAATAGCCTCACTGGAGTCATAACTGCCTTATTAAACAAAAATAAATTTGCGTTTAACGGAAATTATAAGAGTTTGGGACAAAAGAAGATCATCAATTTCAATTTGAAAACTCCTTATTTTGAAGATAGTCTGCAAGCATCGATTGCGGGAACATTAAGAAAGTTTAATGCAAATTTGAAATTACAACATAACAAAGATGTCTACGAAATGGTAGCCTCAAATAAGAATTATTACGCCGAGATGGATGTAAGTCTCAAAGCTCCAGGAATGAAAGCAAAATTCCTGTCTGAAGGTGATTTGCAAAAATGTGAAGTTTCTGGCAGTTTAAAGATGGCGACTAAATTGTATGAACTAACGTTATCAAACCAGAATTATCTTAGAAATATTAACGTAGAAGCATCCACGCCACAAACAGGAAAGTCCACATTTAATTTTGCTTTTCAAGGTAACAGGAATCATTTTGATGTAGTAAGTAAGTTTTCTCTAAGAAATAAGAAATACGAACTGAATATTTCCGGCGACAGTAAAATTGGTGAATACAAATTGAAAGTTTTTACTCCTCAAATAAATATCAATGGACACTTCAATGGCGACTTGAAAAGCTTTTCATTCAATGCCAATGTTATTTTCAAGAAAGAGAAATATGAAATGATGGCTTCAACGAAAAACTATTTCCGAGATATCTCTGGCAAGCTGATTACTCCACAATTTGGAGAACAAAGTTTCTCGATGAAAATCAATGGACAACTAAGAGATTTTAATGGTTTCATCGAGGTAAAACACAACAAGGAACTCTACAGAAGTGAATTCTCATTGGCGAATCAGGAATTTAAATGTAGCCTACACTTTCCAAAATTTCAGGAATTGCTTCACGCCAAATTTATAAACTGCAGAGAAAATATCGAACTTTTTCTTCAACTTATTCACAATGGCCAAAAATATGAAATGAATATCACTAAGGCAAAAGCCCTGAAAATTCATATTCTTTCTCAATGGGGGACATTTAACGCTTCAATAAATGGTGATCTAAGAAATACTCAAACAAAAATAAAAGGAGTTTTTGGAAAAAATATTTTCGAAAACGCAGCCCAGATTCGTTTTGATGGAAATCGAGTTGACATCGATATAAAAATACTGTATCAAATTCTGAGCCGATCTGGTCAGTTTGATTTTCAAGTTAGTCACGTGATCAACAAAAATTTATTCAAAAGTGAGTTTCACGGTAATGTCGGAGATGTGGAATTTGCCACTAGCGTCTCTCTGAAATTCTCAGAACAAATAAACGCTGTCTTAAGCGTTAACCTCCCAACTTTCAACAAGAGTGAGATTCAATTGCAAATTGTGTCCGAAGGGCTTCACAAAATCGATTCCGTGCTTAATTTAAAAAGCCCTTGGACAAAAGTAACCAAGATCGTTTATGAGCACAATATTAACCTGAAAAAATATGTGAGTAGTCAGTGTTATATCGAACACGATCAATCAAGATTGATTGGATATTCCGTACATGCGACTTTTAATAGTAGTTTCAATTTCGATGTAAAATGCGACTATAACAATTACAGAAAGAAACTTTCAGCAAAAGGGGATTTGAACTTTCATCGGTCTATAACCGTTGCTATTTTGAAAGTAAATATATCTTTCGAAACTTTAAAAGAATTGCATATTTCTACGAAAATATCTCGGGAAAGTTTAACCAGTGTGTTAAATCTTGCACAGCAAAAACGACAAGTCGGATTAAAGTTTAATTTGAACAAGAACAGTGGCAGTATTTCCACCAGCGTAACTATTAATACGCTCAAAGACAGATTATACCAACTGCAAATGTCCTACAGGAACGCTACTCAACACAGTGATGTCTCTCGGAGTTTTAACTTTAAAATGGTCCATCCTGTACGCACAGTAGGAGGAAATTATAAATTTGAAAACAGCCAAAATTCTCTAGTTATGTCAAGTCTTCTCATATGGGATGAATTTAGAAATCAAAAGGCTGGGTTCGAATTGATGGTTCAGAAGGGCGAAAACAAGGAAGGCAAACTCAGAATAATTACCCCACGCCGTACTATGGAATTATATAGCAGGGTTGAAGTGAATGGGAATCACTATAGCACAATGGGTCACATTATGATGGACGTGGAAAATAAAGACCAAAAGGTAGATATCAAGGCAGACATGATGGCATCAAACGACAGAGCAGACATCGACGTCACCATCAAATTCCCCAACCAGAGAAAGGTTAGTCGAATTTCTTTTATCTAAATTAATTGATTATCTAACTTCAAATACCGTGTTTCTAAATTGAAATGAAAAGATGAAAATTCCATTAGGAATTCGTAGACTGAAAAATCCTATTCTGATGTTTTTCATCCCAAATTCTTTTTGTTTATTTACCAATATTTTAGGGAATGAATCTGAAGACAACCGTCAATCTTCCCAAGGGCGACATTATCTTCAGCAGCACTTCTGAGTTCAGCATAGATCAGGATCCCCAAAAGACCTTCAAGATGTCCACAAAATTAATGTCGGAAAGAAGGGGTCAACATGAAATGTACACTATGCAGATGGACGCTGGACACGACCACACTGGTTTTGCTACTGAGGTGATCGGCCGAGTAAGCAGCAGCCCAGAAAAGTACAATGCCGATGTCGAGATGGGATATTTAACCTTAAAACGTCAACAGCAAAAGTTTGCCATTCGTGGAGAAATTCACACACTCAACCGTGAAGCTAATTTGAAGGTAAATATTTGTTTAATACTTTGTCTTAATCTATCGTAATTGATGAAGGTAATAATTTCTGATAAAAGCATTTTGGCTTTGTAATGTTTGTCTGAAATGGCAGGAACTTTGAACGAGATTCTTTAGCGTCTCCGACAACAAAATTCAAACACATCTCTAGTGTTCATTGCTTTTCATCACCTATAAAATAGTTTGTTTTTGTTTCTGCCATTTTGTTTAAAATACCGACAATTATTTTTCTTCGTTTTGTTATCTGTTAGTATTTGACCTCATTTATGTTCCGTTTATTATTGAACCTAAGCTTTTAGCCACAGAAACCATTGATGATTTCGAAAAGGATTCTTTCTTATTTCTTTTGTTTCGTATACTTGTTTTCTAGTTGGAAGCCCCATCAAAGACCATTGAATTGGATGGATCTATACGTACCGGAAACAGATTCATGATGTCCGCTTTAAAGAAAGAAAGTGGTAAAGAAAACATGGAAGCTCTCTTCAAATTGAACCCAAATTCCAAAAGAATGAACATCATCTTCAATTATGACGAAGGTAAGATCCATTTGGATTGGCATCACTTATTTCCGGCCCTATCTCAATTAAACTTAAATTATGATGCTCGTTAGACACATTTTCATTGGTTATTTCCGGTCCTACATGAATTAAAATTAAATTATGACGCTCGTGATATACATTTAGATTGACATCGCGCATTCCCGGTCCTACATGAATTAAAATTGAATTATGATACTCGGAAGGTCCATTTGTTTTGGCATCGCTTATTTTATTCCTATTAAATTAAAATTAAATTATGACGCAGTATGATCAATTTGGATTGGCATCACTTATTTCCAGTCCTATATAAATTAAAATTAAATTATGACAAACGTATGATCCATTTGGATTGTCATTATTTCTATCGCTATTTAGAATATCACCGAGTAATGACGAAGAAATGATCCATTTGATTTGGCATTGTTTATTTCCTGTCCTACTTGGAATATTCTTCAGTTATGACGAAGGAATCATCCATTTGGAGGTCATTGTTTTTCTCTTGTTCTTCTTTAATCTTCGTTTCTGAAGATCGAAATTATTTTTAAAGCCAACCATCATTTGCTCACTTTGTTTGATTTTATTGAAAGCGGAGAAAGTTTTTCATGAGTATATTTCATTTCGTAGGATATATTATGTAAGTATCACTTAATTGTTTATAAGCCGCACTGTCACTAGTTTTCATTCCATTTCTTGTCTACAGAGAATGCAGACAATGTGTATCGTATTGATGCCGAAATCATGAAATCGAAAACCCTGTTCAAAGCCTACCGCGCCAATAACCAAAGCGAAATGGCTAATGATGCTGCTGTATATATTGAGTTACAACCACAAAACATGATCAAGTCAACCATTAGATGGAATCCTCATCTTTTCCAAGAATCCACTGTGAGTATTCTTTAACGCAAATTTGACCATTTCTCTTGAAGACTTCAGAAAAAATGCAGTCCACAAACAAATAAACATTAGTTTTTGGTTCAATATCAAATAGTTGACAAGTTGATCCACAGAATCTTCCTAATCGATGAATATATTTCCTTTTTTCATTTCTCGGTGATTGATTCACTTGTCTCTTTTTCTTTGCTATTTCGAATGGATGCACTATGTGGCTATCTCCGTTCTCTAACTTGCCATTTCTATCTTCATATTTCAAATATTCGTTGATGTGTAATGGAATTGTTGGTTAGAATTTACAAAATATTCCAGTCGTTTTCTTCTTGGCGTGTCCCTTTAAGGCATCAGTGATCTTAAAACATCCTTGTCATTCACATGTTCAATCCATGATATTTGATTTTTGTTAGCACAAGTCTCTTCTGCATCTGTGAAGATTGTGCAGAATCACAAGATGAAAGCTGTGATGAAGAGTGAAGCAACTATCAACTGATAGTGGCGGGGCGTGTCAGGCTTTGCAATCAACACTGATGAGAACAGAGACGAAACGACTTTCTATCGTTCATATTTTTGTCGCAGTTAAATGTCAATCAGAAAATGTGAAATCTTGTAAGAAGTGAATGAATGCCTTGACACAGTTCGATATTAACTAAACTTAACTCGCGATACAAAGACAAATGCAACGGATAATTGATGATGGAAGATTATATAGAGCCAGTTGATTTCCAGATAAAAAAGGCCAACCATATACTGACAATTATTGACTACGCTTAAAGTCAAATGTAAAGGAGAATGTAGGTAGAAGACTGAATAGCGGCAAATATTCACTGAACTAAGGTTACTCTGATACAACATTAAATGGTTCCGAAGATAGAATTGAGAGTAAAAAATTATGTAGTGTCAATCTTCATAAAAAGAGAAAATGATTCAGTCACCTGTGTTTCAAACAAATTCTTAAAATACCTTTGGGTAAAGTTAGGAGATGGAATAGTTTTCGACGAATTCTTGAACCTGGATTCATTAAAGAAAGTTTTGTGCCGTGAAGGTGTTTGGCAGTGACCGAAGAGAGATAATAATCAGTTGATGCAAGGTCAGCTGAATATATGGGGTGGAATATGCTAAACCGAGTTCCAATCCGAGTTTATTGTGTTATTCTTGCTGTAAGTGATCCTTGCGCGGCCATAGAGGAGAACAATATGTGTTTACTACCGGCAAACTGTGGGCATCTTTCGCCCAAATATTTATAGACAGCTTACAGCTTCTAGATGTATAAATGTACATTTTTGCGTTTTAACAACTCAAAATAAATAATACCCCGATGATCCCACAACACTCACAAAATTACATTTCTTCCATTCAGCTCAGCTTTTAGTTTCGATTGTGGAAACATATATAAACGCCAATCCTCTGCTGTTTGCGTTGAAAATTGTCACGTGGAACCCATTTTTCACCACCTGTTATGATAGATTTAAAGAACGGCTTATTTCTCTTTTAAGAAAGAATACTTTTCGTTATGGATAAACAATAATCCGTTTTGTTCTTTTCGCTAAGAACACGTGAAACCTAAATAACCCAGCTTGTTGTCATTCACTAGACTTTCTAAGGGTCGGTATGTTTAACATTATCGCTAATTCCTTTTCCTTTAATTTGCCATGGAGTACTTTCCTCTTGTGACTTTAGCGTTATATCAACAAAATCCGATGCACACACTCTTTCCTAATTTCTTATCTTCCAACCACGTTTGCCTGAACAAAACTTCGCAAACTAATTCTTTACTTGACTTCTTTTAACCAAAAGCAATGCACATATTTGTCTAGATGCCTCCATGGCGCTATTTCCATAACATTATGTGACTTAAATGCACTTTCAATTCATCCATTAGTGGGATTAAGACATTTACACCTTAATCCACTGTGTACGCTGCCACTACCACTAATATTAGCCATTGAAACGTTATTCTTCATGAATCTATGATACTGGCAATAATTTATAACTCAGTGAAATCTAAGAAGCTGGTAAATTCTTCCAAGAGTTCATCGAACCAATTTCCTTATCTTTCAGTCATTGCATTTTTCGCTTTTACTGGTATTATTTACATCATTTTACATTATGAATAATCATTCCTTTTTATTATCAAAACGTTTCAAACGTTCCACACTCCGGCCTTCTTCAGAACCCTTTATTTAATCTACAGATGTTGACTATTCTCGTTTTGCTATCCATGCCTTGTCAAGTTCAGTTCCAAATTCCCTGAATGCTACCAAATCGACAGATACATGAAGAAGGACAGAGATTACACCTATCGAAACGTGTGGTAATAACAACAAAGATGAGGACATTGATACGTACAGAAATGTTAACTCCTCATTCTAGAAATGCAGACAGAAATGTTCTAGTGTTGTGAGAAATTCTTATTGTCTGAAGCATTGCAATGTACTGATAAAAAAAAGAAAGATAAAGATAACTGTTTTATTAATTCATAGAATTATGATAGAATTTCCATACGTTGGCCAATACTGGGAACATTTACTGCTTTATTTTTTTTTTAAATATTTATTTATTTATTTCAGATTTTTGAATATCAGGAACTACAAATGCGCGGACAACAATTGCAAGATTTTGGAGAAAACTTCAAAAAGATGTTAAACGAGGAACTTTTTGCTAAAGTTCTTTTGGTCAAAAACTCGTTTGCAGAAGACCTGTCGTCTTTCAGCGATCTCTTTCTTGTAGAATTTTATGACCTATACAAAGACTTGGACAAAATGTGGCAAGAATTTAAAGAAATGTACCAACGGAATTACTTTTATTTGAAGTCTGGAACCCAAAGACTTTATCGTGTCTGGAACGATTTATGGTCAAATTATCAGAATAAAAAGACCCAGTTTAAAATAATAGTTGACAACTTATATAAAAAATTGGAGACTACAGTTGGAAAAATCAAAATAATATTTGATCATAAATACACTCAGTACGAAGTACTATTTACGGTAAGAATTTTGTTTTCCTTATTTACCTCTCTTCTCTTTTATTTCAGTACATATGTTCGGAAAACTTATATATAATTCTATTGTTTAAAATGTTGCATGTTTATAAGGGATGAGTGCTTAATATCGAGTTTATAGCGTTTGTCGTCATAAACACCGAAGATACAGAAAAGAACGTTGGCCCTTTCAGCAAGCAGTGGGTCAGCCAATAGATAATGACAATACACTTTTTGTGAGTTCTATTTTTAGCCATGCCTGCCAATCACAAGCAGGACTTCCCAATTGTATCTGTAGCCATAAACAAAGGAAGAGATCCAACTGACTAGTCACAACTAATTTTTCCATATTTATTTTGTTCAACTTGTTAATATTTAAAAATAGATCCGAATTAGTTGAACACAAGAAATCTTACAATATCAAGATGTAACCGTAAGTTCTATGCTAACAGTTTCTTCTATCGCACTTCTCGTTTGTGGAACTCTCTTCCGGCTTCTTGCTTCCCAGCCAACTTTGATCTTCAAACATTTAAATGGAGTGCCAATTGTTATCTTCAATTTTCTTAATTCTTGTTCTTTTATTGTTCTCTCTCCGTAATAGTGATTTTTTCATATTGTCTCCC